ACATTCCCACCTACACAGCTTCAAAAAAAGTGGCAAATATCTCTGGGAAAAGACCGGTCTTATGTTTGTGATAGACCTTCTCCCTCCAGACAGACTCTTGTCCCCTAAGCACTATGAAACCTTGGGAGATTTTGCTTTGTTTTTAGAACCTTCTGGTACAATCTTCTAGCCTTCTATACCATTTCAGAATTCAGCTCATGTAGGTGGAAAAATAAATTATTATGTATATTTATGGGTCCTTTAGTTTCCAACTGATTTTGCTAACCCCACACAATTGCCAAAAGCTTGCTGGATTGCTCTCTTTCCCTTAGTAAAAGTCCTTCTACCTGGGACAAGGTCTGAGTGAGCCTCAGTTCCACTTCTAAAATATATAAATTCTTCTCAAAAATCATCAGCACACCTAGGACAGACAGCATACCTGTCTGGAATTTTAGTTTGGATTATCTTCTGATTGCTTCCATAGATCTACAAGGTATTTAAAAACATGATTTTTGCAGCTTGTCCTTTTAAAACATGATTTTTGCAGCTTGTCCTTTTTTTTTTTTTCCTGATTGTGACAGTGAAGGCTTTTAGAAAGTAAGTAACTTTTTGGTGGACATTTAGTTCAAATTGATTCATAAAAATAGTAAATGGTTATTCTGAAGAAAACAGACTACCTTTGTCTTACCATTTTTCATTGAAAATCCTAGGAGTAGAATTAAAGGTTTTTGTCTTTTCTTAACCTGCATTTTCATTTCTTCAGAAATATATTGTTGAACTACATCATTAAATTGAATCTCTGAAGTCTATGTACAGTTAGGCCTCAGATCCACTGGTGTCCCCAGAAGTGGATGTGCCTGTTTGATAATACTCTTAGTATGCTTATCCTTCCCCTCTCACTGCTTTAAAAACAACCTAAAAATATTAAATTTCAATATAAGACTAATCTTTGAGAAACTAATATGTGTGCAGGATAGTGGTTTTCAGTTTTTTTACATTAACTAGGCAACTTGAAAGAACAAGACTAACCTTAGAGAATACTTATATTGTGGCTAACTATATTAATTAATAACAAAATAGTAGGAAAAAATTATTGAGTTTATTATTTATTGCTTTGTATGTGGGGGGAGGGAATTTACAAAAAAAAAAAAAAGGAAAAAAGGATATATAATACACTCTTTTATCAAGGTTTTCCAATCTGGTTTGATGATCACATTACAAAAAAATCCAAACTTTTAAGGATAACTGAATGAGAAAAATAATAGGAATTTCAATAGCACAACTCAGATCATTTCTACACAATCCTGTTAGATTGACATCGTAGATAAATTCCAGTTTATCTACAGAATAGCTATTTATACATATAGGATTTGGAACCTACTTTGGAAGCAACTTCAGTCTTACTCAGAATTACCTTATTACTAAATGTTTACATTGCTACAATTTGTGAGAAGCTGAACTGAGGCAAAGTTTGGCAAATAAAATTCTATAATGGTATCACCTAGGAGGATCCTTTAGTTAAATCATTTTACTAGAAGACTAAGATGACTGAGTAATATTTTGTAATCTAGTTTAGTCTATATGATTTATTATATTTGAACAGCTATAAACTCTTTAACAAATACTGTTTTGAAATAACTAGGCTCACAATTAATTGGCATTTTTATAACCAAAGGATTTCCAAGAACTTGAGTTCTTTTCAACAATATCTAACAATAGCAAAGTTGAAATATTTCCCACATTATGAACACATCCACAGAATTATAGAATCATACAGTTTACAAGCTGAATGGTAACTTAGCGATTATCCCCCACACCTCATTTTATAGTTTGTCAATCAAAAGCCTAGAAATGTTAAGTGTACTGTTCAAAATCACAGGCCCTTGCTGGATTTTAATTTATTTTTAAAGATTTGTTTATTTTAGAGAGAAAGCACAAGTGAGTAGGAAGAAGGGCAGGGGGAGAGAATTCTCAAGTGGACAACCCCCGCCCCCCGCCCAGGTCAGAGCCAGACACAGGGCCCAATCCCAGGACCCTGAAATAATAACCTGAGCCAAAACCAAGAATCGATGTTCAACCATCTGCACCACGCAGATGCCTCTTAATTTATACATTCTTTATGAAGAACATAAATACTTTCCTTTTCATCATCTTTTAGGAAGATGCATCATACTAATGATAAATTTGGAAAATTATTTTTAGGATATATGAAATTAGTATGTTCCTGAAAAGAAATGGCTTTAAAGTTGAATTTTAGAAAACAGTCTTATTTTTTCATTTAGAGTCATAATAATAGAAACAAGGGAAAGACCTTTAGGGGTGCCTGGGTGGCTCAATCAGTTGAGCATCTGACTCTTGAGCATCCAACTCTTGATTTTGGCTCAGGTCATGATCTCACTGCCCTGGGATAGAGCCCATGTTAAGTACATTGCTCATTAGGGAGTCTGCTTGAGGATTCTCTCTTCCTCTCTCCTTTACCCTCTGCTCCTACCCCCTGCTTGCGCGCTCTCTCTCTCTCTCAGTAAATAAATAAATCTTAAAAAAAAAAGATCTTTAGTATTATATCATTATAGGACATTTTAGTTTTCTGATAAAGTCCTAACAGTATGCCAGGTAATTCATAATAGTGAACCAAACCTCTTGTGTATTTAACCCATTTTTACAGAACCACATTTGGGACTAGACTTTTTTTGTCTGTGTTACCTGATTCTGTATATAGTTTTTTTATTAAAAAAAAAAATTTTTTTTTAAAGGGAGATTCGGGCAGCCAGGGTGGCTCAGCGGTTTGGTGCTGCCTTCAGTCCAGGGCATGATCCTGGAGAGCCTGGATCGAGTCCCACATCAGGCTTCCTGCATGGAGCCTACTTCTCCCTCTGCCTGTGTCTCTGCCTCTCTCTCTCTCTCATGAATGAATAAATTAAAAAAATCTTTATTTAAAAAAATAAATAAAAAGGGGGATTCTGTAACCAGAATTGTCTAGATGTCACTTAAAATTTATTTATCACTTCACTGTTTTTTGATGTTACTTCTAGGCCAGGAGGTACAGCCTAAACTGAAGTCTTAGCATCCAAGGTAAAAGCAAATTAAATATAGAAATGTTTTCCTCAGTGATGGAATAAAGAATGGAAATTGGTGTGGAAAGGGTTGGTTCCTTCTGAGGGCTGTGAGGGAAGATTCCAGGACTTTCTCCTTACCTTGTAGATGGCTAACTTCTCCCTGTATCTTTTCACGTTGTCTAACCTCTGCCTTTCTCTCTGTCCAAATTCCCCTATAAATTTTATAAGGCCCAGTCATTGTATGAGGGGCCTACCCAACCCCCTATGACTTCATCTTAACTGATTACATCTGCAGTGACCCTATTTTCAAATAAGGCCAGTTACAGCTACGCTATAAAAAGCACATAAAACTCCAGATCGACAAATCATACTACATTATTCAAATGGCAATACACATTATACTTATAAAATTTATTTTTAAGTTCAGGGGTATTAATACATGCACAATGTTGTGCAACCAACATCTATTTCCAAGGAAAATACATTTTTAAAACCTAGTTTTTATTAGTAAATCTAGATAGAGCTGCTGGTTTTGAGTTATTATTGACTATGATTACTGAGTACAAACCAAATAGGTAACGCACAGTCTAACAAATGCCAGTGAATTTACTGAGAAAATAAGAATATTTAAAATCTGTTGAAACTGTCAGTGCTACACCTGGGCTAAAAGGAAAAAATAGACCTCGAAACTAAGTACAACACAGAAATAGCGTCCTAAGATGTCAGTGAAAGCCCCGCTACTTTGGGGAAAGCATCTCTGTGATGTTGGTAAGCAGTTAAGGTAGCTCTAGTGCTGTCTTACAAGGGTTCTTAACCTGGGCCTGGAGGAGCCGGTGTAAAGTGCCGCAACACGCACCCGCTAATACAAGCAGTGGCCGGGGGGGGGGGGGGGGGGGGCGGAGAGCATTCACTGCTTTTATGAGGGTCTCAAAAGGATCTTTGAATTTAAAAAGTTCTTACATTATCATAAATGAGGGACGGGACGCGAGAGCCAGAGGTGGACGGTGGCCAGGACCCCGAATCCTCCGCTGCGCTGGTGCGCGCGAGCCGGGGCCCAGCCGGGCGGGCCCAGGCCTGCCTCCCGCCCCGCACAGGGGGCGGGGCCAGGGAGACCGTGCCCCCTGCCCCGCCCCTCCGGGAACCCCAGGGCGCCCCTGTTTACCTCCGGGTATCAGACACCCGAGACAAAGGGGGAAGGGAGGGAGGGGCCTTCTGGGGGAAACTCCACGGCGGGAAACGCCTGACTGGAAGATCGTTTTGTAACCCCCACGAGAGGCGGGAACAGCCGCCCTCCCGCGCCCCCCGCGCCCCTTCCCAGGTTCCCCGCACCTCTGGCCTTACTGGGGTTCTATCCTAGCCTCGGCGGCAACGGGCGGAGCTGGGCAGTCGGCCATCCAGGCAAGCTCCTCAGCCCCTCTCCATTCGTGACTCTCTGGACGGGACCAAGGCGACTCTGTGGGGTCGCACGGCAGAGGGACCGCGGCCCCAGGAGGAGACAACGCTGTGGGGCCGAGGAGAGCCAGGACCTGGACAGTGGTCGGGAAACGGGTACGGCGGGCTGCTCGTTACCTCAGTGCCGGGAAACCGTGCCGCCGCCGACCCCTCGAGAACCACCCAGTTTCCCCGACTCGGTATTTTTAAATCTGGCGGGGCTTTCCCTTTCAGGCCAGCCACTCCCCCCGTTTACTGCCCCAGCCAGTCACCGTCAGGCCCGCCATTTTTCAAACCCTTTTCCCGCCGCCAATCAGGATCGAGCAGTACATTCCTCTCCTGACCGGTTCTAACGGGTCTGGGAGTTAACGACCTGGGCGACCCACCGAACCTGCTAGGCTGGGGCTGGAGGGGCGGGCCTGGTGAGACACCGACCAATCGGAGGCCTCCCTGGCGACAGGGTGGGGCCTACGGGAGTTTGAATAATCACCAGAACCAATCAGAGGGGCGGGGGTGTGGCCTGTGGCCCGGCTCGTCAAGTTGCCGTGGCGCGGAGAACTCTGCAAAACAAGAGGCAGGGGATTGCGTTAGCGATAAACCAGTTCACGCCGGAGCCCTGGGAAGGAAGCGTCTCTGCTGGCTCCGGCCTCTCCGCGGGACTCTGAGGAAAAGCCGCCACCAGGCAAGAGCCCCGTTTAGCCCCTTCGTGCTCGTGGGCCTGCCGCTTTCCCTTTCCCCATAGCCTTTTAGCCGGGCCGGGCACTGCGGCTCTCGGGGTTCGAGCCGGGGAGGGCCGGGGGCTGTGGAGGGCGGAAAGCGGCGTCCGGGCCCGGCTTCAGTCGTTTTTTTGAATGTCGGTCGCGAGGCGACAACTCTTTGAGTCGGGCTGGCGAGGTGGAAGCCGGGAAGACATTTCTGTCAGGAAACGGGCTTCGACGGCGCCCCCGGCGTTCCCTGCCTCAGCCCGGGCCTGGGCGGGCGGCGGCGCTCCGGGGCCTCCGGAGAGACGTGGTGGCCGCGCGTGAGGCGGGCGGGCGGGCGGGCGGGCGGGCGCCGGGAGGAGGGCGTGTGCGCGCAGGCGGCCGCCGGGCGGGCTGGTGGGGGAGCCGCGGCGCCGGTCGCCTTCCTCGCGAGAGGGGGCGGGCGCGTATTTGGGCGGGAAGCGGGGCCCCGCGGGCGTCCGCCCACCGCTCCTCTCCCCACCAGGCCGACGCCGCCCGGCACCATGGGTAAAGGAGACCCCAACAAGCCGCGGGGCAAGATGTCCTCGTACGCCTTCTTCGTGCAGACCTGCCGGGAAGAGCACAAGAAGAAGCACCCGGACTCTTCCGTCAATTTCGCTGAATTCTCCAAGAAATGTTCGGAGAGATGGAAGGTGAGAGCGGAATTCGGGCAGCGCTGAGGGCTTTTCGGATGTGTTTTTCTGGGGCCAGGACCTTAAACATTAAACACGGAGGTGATTCGCCCAGATATTTTGAGTTTGGGGCAGACTACCTGAGGTTTTCGTTTACTTCCAAGACTGCAAAAAGTAAAATGCGGCCCGAAAGGAAGACCTTGATCCCGTTTGGGTGCCTGTGGCTCACATTGCTTATGTACTTTTATACCGCCTCTCATGTCCACAGACCATGTCTGCAAAGGAAAAGTCGAAATTTGAAGATATGGCAAAAAGTGACAAAGCTCGCTATGACAGGGAGATGAAAAATTATGTTCCTCCCAAAGGTGACAAGAAAGGAAAGAAGAAAGATCCCAATGCTCCTAAAAGGCCTCCGTAAGTTCGTCTTCAGATGGGTCAGATTGCCCCTTAATTTTCCATTCAGTTTGTTAACACTGTCGCTTCTTTTCAGGTCTGCTTTCTTCCTGTTTTGCTCTGAACATCGCCCAAAGATCAAAAGTGAACACCCTGGTTTATCCATCGGGGATACTGCAAAAAAGCTGGGTGAAATGTGGTCTGAACAGTCAGCCAAAGATAAACAACCATATGAACAGAAAGCAGCTAAGCTAAAGGAGAAATATGAAAAGGTACGTTGTCCTCCCTTTTTAAAGCCAAGGTTAAAATGAGACATATTTTCTGAAAAAGGTTGTTAGAAATAGGCATCAGCTATGGAGTTAAGTTTAATCTTGTCCTTATGGTTGTCAGCTGTATTTGGAGAGTCTAGTGAAAATTGTACGTTATAAGCTAATTGAAACTTACCTTTGTTTTGACTGAAAGCAGTGTTTGTAGCATTGGTAAATTCCTACATAGACTCTTAAGAGTTCTGGGTCTGTTAGTTTTCAGAAAGGGAAGGCCAAATATTTTGTTTTATGTAAATATATTTAAGAAGTGGAGGGGAGTAGATAATGTGAGATAATTGGACATTGATAGTGAAAGTTCTGACATCTACTACAGCCCCATTTTATACCATTGACTTTTTAAAGCTGGAGGGAATAAATGCTCTCAAAACTGAGTTAGATTCTGCATACCTTTTTAGACAGTCATCAGGGTTATTGGTCAATGATCTTAGATTGTTTACAACTTAGTGGTTTTCACAGTTGAGTAATGACACCGGATGCTGATTTTATTTTTCGACAATATTTCAGGATATTGCTGCATATCGCGCCAAGGGCAAAAGTGAAGCGGGAAAGAAGGGCCCTGGCAGGCCAACGGGTTCAAAGAAGAAGAATGAACCAGAGGATGAAGAGGAAGAGGAAGAGGAGGAAGAAGATGAAGATGATGAGGAAGAGGAGGAAGATGAGGAATAAATGGCTATCTTGTAATGATATGTGTGGAGTGTGCGTGTGTGCTCAGGCAATTGTTTTGCTAAGAATGTGAATTCAAGTGCAGCTCAATATTAGCTTCAGTATAAAAACTGTACAGATTTTTGTATAGCTGATAAGATTCTTTGTAGAGAAAATACTTTTTTAAAAATGCAGGTTGTAGCTTTTTGAGGGGCTACTACATACAGTTAGATTTTAAAGCTTCTGATGTTGAATGTTTCTAAATATTTAATGGTTTTCTTAATTTCTTGACTTGTGTATTGTAGCACAGCAGACTTGTAGGAATTAGTATCAATAGTAAATTTTGGGTTTTTTAGAATGTTGCATTTTGTTTTTTAAAAAAATTTTTGTAATAAAATTATGTATATTATTTCTTTTGTCTTTGTCTTGATATGCTAGGTTAGTTTTCACTCTAAAAATTCTTAAGAGTCTGGAGCCATGTCAAGATTTTCTTGTTAATTTATGCCTAATAGTTCTTAGAGTTGATTGAGTAAAATGTTTGGTTGAAAGTAAAACATGCCCTTATTCTAATTTACAAAGTGTTCTTTAAAAAATAGACCTGGAATATAATGAACCTCTACAATTGGTGCAGTTTTACAAAGTGAGTAACTTTTTTTTTTCTTGACGTTGCTGTTGATTTATTACTAACTTATCTGTTGGGTTTTTTGTTTTTTTTAAACTGACACTATTTTTTGGGAAACTGTCTTTAATAAAAGGCAGAGGAGCTAAAACAAGTACATAACCTAAAAAAAACTTAAAAACATCATTAGAACAGGTTAAATTTTCTGTTGATTGTGAATTAGTTCAAGGTGAATACTAGAATGCATTTTGAGTTAAATCTTTAAAAATGTAGTGTGCTATTAAACTTCAGAATTTTGGATAACCTTAAAGCATTTGAGGTAGTTCTTATGGTCTGCCATGACTAAATTTCACTAGGATTTATATTTACTGGGTAAATCATTATTTGAGAAATACTCCATTGAAGGTGCAATTGCTCCTCTTTGAATTAAGATTACTATTTTGAAGTTATCAGAGGCTTCTAGTGAAAACCGACCTCTGTTGGCCAAGTGATGACAGAACAAACCTATTTGTTGATTGTTTTATACTTAAACTTGATCTGATAATCCTGATTACCTGTCAAATTTTAAAATAGTCAAAAGTCTTAAACAACCATGGCAGTTTGTTGCTGTCTTATGCCATATTGGGGTAAGTATGGTTAACTGGGAGTGGGTCAGGTATTAGCATAATTACCAGAATAAAGAATCAAAATCTGCAGACCTCTGTTTGCCCTCCTTATCCTATCCCAGTAGTTGCACATTTAAATATGGAGTGTTGCTGATCAAAATGAAAATTTTATTTTAAAAAATAATTTCTAGTGTTAAGTGACTTAATAGCACGAAAAAATTAGGGTAATATGTTTTAGAGACAACCTTGGTCTGAATAACAGTTTCCCAGCTCTGTATAAGTACTAGCTTTATGAACTTTGATCTTACAGCTTCCCATTTGTAATACAGGGTCAGTACGTGCTTCACAGCTTTTCAATGTTAAAGGAAAATTACAGCTATGCAAAATTGGTGCATAAAGGGATGTTAACCAAGAGTTAGTAAAATTGAAATAGGGCAAAAGTGTTGTTTCCTTAAGGATTTCTAAATCTTGTAAGTTAGACCCCATGAGGCAGACCTGTCAGATTTCTTGTCATCTTTTGGGGAGTTTTTGTGATTGCTTTAATTGTTCTTTATATAAAGCATAACACACCTAAGCTGTGAGAATGACTCATTTCTTTTAATTAAGAACTGCTCTAGAATAAGTTGAGGATTTAGGGTGAATCATCCCATTTAATATTTTCTAAGTGTGGATCAAAATTCAAATCCTTCTGAAAAATTGTATCAGTAAAATTTTAAGACTAGGTATCTTTTCAAGGATTGGGTTCTGTTGGAAAGCACTGAAATGGGAATAAGAATTAGTTTCCAGGGATCCCTGGGTGGCGCAGTGGTTTGGCGCCTGCCTTTGGCCCAGGGCGTGATCCTGGAGACCCGGGATCGAATCCCACGTCGGGCTCCTGGTGCATGGAGCCTGCTTCTCTCTGCCTGTGTCTCTGCTTCTCTCTCTCTCTCTATCATAAATAAATAAAAACTAAAAAAAGAGTTTCCACCCCAGACCAGCTAGTACATGGAGGTGTTATAAGAACTCTTATTTTAAGAAATAACACATCTTAGTAATATAAAATGTAAAAGAGCTATGTAGTAGATGGTCTATATACTTGATTCCCAACTGCCTGGTTCTCCTAGGAGGCAACCACAATAATTTAGCCTTCAAGAGAGACTTAAGCTTAAAGAATTAAATATATATATATATATACACACACGATCATACATTTTATATGTATTGATTGCTCTTCCCCTTATTCCTATTTTAGAGAATGTTCGATCAGTACTGTACAAAAAAACTGACACATTTCAATAGCTGCATAGTATCCCATTGGATGGTAATTAGCTCCCTAAAAGTCATTTTTTTTTATGAATAATATTGCCATGAATATCCTTGTTTGTGATTTCCAAAAAGTCTTTAAAATTTTTTTGTACATTTTAAGATTTGATGATTGTAACTGCTAGAACCTGTACAGTTGACCCTTGGAACAACATGGGAGTTAATGGACACCAAATCCTGCCCTTACACAGTCGAAAGTCTGTATATAATTTCTACTCCCCCAAAACTTTATTAATAGCCTGTTGACTAGAACCTGTATCGTAATATAGTTGATTATAACACATACTTTGCATGTTATATATGTGTTTTATTCTTTTTTAAAGGAAGTCTTTCCTTTTTTTTTTTTAAGACTTTTATTTATATACTCATGAGAGACACCGAGGCAGAGACATAGGCAGAGGGAGAAGCTGGCTCCATGCAGGGAGCCCAACATGGGACTTGATCCCGGGTCTCCAGGATCAGGCCCTGGGCCGAAGGCGGCGGCACTAAACCGCTGAGCCACCCGGGCTGCCCGTTAACATTTTATATTGTATTTTTAAAGTAAGTTTGAGAAGAGAAAATGTTACTAAGAAAATACATTTACTGTACCGTAAAAAAATCCACATTTAAATGGACAGTGCACAGGTCAAACCTACATTGTTGAAAGGTCAACTGTACTTGGTATATGCTGGAAACCTCTTATGTTTTGTTAACTAAAGCCTGCCAAAATTGCTCTCAATAGAAGTACTGATACATACTCAACAGCAGTGAATGCTTTAGAGTATCGATTTCCTCATCTCAGCAACATAATAGTTATCAAACTTTTTAATCTTGCTATTTTAATTTACAAAAACTGGTTCCTATTAAGAGTTGAGCATATTTTTAAGGGTCATTTATTTCCTGTGGTCTGTCTCAGGTTTTTGTAATAGTAATCTGTGGAGAGTAAGGGAAGTGACTGTGACAGGCATTGTAAATACTTTTCTCCTTGTCATTTGTCTTTTGCCTTTATGATATTTTCTTTATGCGAGAACTTATTTTTATGTAGGCAATTTTATTCTTTAGTGGTTTTGGGAGGCCTTTCCCACCCAAAGATGATAAAAATTATCCGGTTTCTTTTAAAAATGTTATTATTTAATTAAATCTTTGATCTTCCCGGAATTTATTTTGGTCAAGGACTCAGGTAGGGGCTCAAATTTCTTTCCAGATGGCAGCTGCCACTTTGGTTTTTTTATTGGTAAAGCTGGGTTAGAAGATCCCAAGGTTTCTTATATATTGAAGCAGTCAAGTGGAAACTTGCTCATTAGATGACAGTATGCCTTTTTGTAAGTATCTTGCTTTTTAACAGCATTATTTATTGTAAGTAGTAGATTATAAGCTTGTCTTAGACTAGTACAAATATAGCATTATCTTAAACCCAACTATTACAAATATGCCACTAAAAATGTTTTATAAAGCAGTAATGATCTTATTTCTTGAAGAATAGCAAGAAGAAAGATAAAGGAGCTGTTAGGCCACTGCATAAGATCCAATCCCTTTAAAACATTTCTCTAGAAATAACCCATTTTTAGACTCCTTATGGTATTCTTGTTGGACACTATGGCATTTTCAGAAAAAAGTAGAATATTGGCAGGAAATGCAAAGATCCATAGAGTGTAGACAGGGAAAAGGGCTGGGAGTGGTAAAGTGATGAGCATACACAAAAATAAGATCTATGAGGGCCATGAATTTTTATTTTTGTATAATGCTCTATACCCTGTGCCAGAAACATAGTTAGGTACTCTATAAATACTTATAAACAAAAATACTGTGATGAAGAGGACAGCTACTATTTAATTCAGTCTTGTTGGATGGAAATGTAGGTCTACGATTTCCAAGTACCCCAAATTTTCAAATGGAACCAAAAATCTAGATTTTTATTTTTTAAAGTGAAATCTGAATCAAATATTAGCAATGAATTCAAATGTCAGGTTCAAAGAAAACGTCTATAGGTAAGATTCTACCCAAGGAATGCCAGTTTGCCACTTATATAAATTAAATAGGTAAATGTAAGATGATTAATATTTACCCGTTAGGACTGTTGCTAAGTTTATGTGTGCTTTCCAGCTAAGCAGCATTGTTTTGATAGTTGTATAAGAAACTTTTTTCACCCTAACTGGAAACTCCTCTAATTTTTTATCCTGTAGTAAGTGCATGTATAGACATTGTTTCTGAGATCTTAATGGAATTTCATTGTGCTCCTGAGCCTCTCTTCAGGATTTATAGTGCAGACTTTTCCCTTAGTGAGCTTCTTCTAGGAGTTACCATATCTATGGAATAGTAGGCTCAGGAACACAGAGCGTTATATTAGAAGAAAAGAAACATTTAAGCAACATGGAGCATCAAACTTCAGAACTGGAATTGATCTTTTATGTCAACTGATCCAGTCTCCTTCCTTCAGGAAGACGTGGCAGTCAACTAGGACATCAGGTAAGATAATAAAACACTAATTCATTTACTTTTGCTTTGTTATTCTTTGATTCTTCACATTTTTCCAATAAAAATGAGATGGCTTATACAAAGGATAAATTAAAATACAGACAGGGGGCACCTGGCTGACTCGGTTGGTAGATCATGCAACACTTGATTCTGGGGTCATGAATTTGAGCCCCACATTGGGCATAGAGATTACTTAAAGTACAGACAAAGGGGAAAACAAGGTTATAAAGGAGATTAAGAATGAGATGAGATGAAGAGCTTATACTTGGGATTCGGATTAGAGTTTGAATAGGTCTCTGTTTCTTACTGGTTTGGTAACATCAGACAAGTCATATAACCTTTCAATTTCCTCATCTATAAAGTTAGAAATTTTGAGGATTAAATACAATAATATAAGACACTTACCTGAGTGGCAAGAGATAATTAATAATAAATATTAGCTAAAAGTATACATACCAATACCTATGGGTTAAGATAGTTGCTGTGGTAGGAGTATCTGATTCAGTTGAGATTTTTAAAATCCTTTTATTTTTTCATCGTAAGTGTACTCTTTAATCATCATCTCCTGTTTCACCCATCCCCCTATGCACCTCCCCTCGGCAACCATTAGTTTTTTAAGTCTGTTTCTTGGTTTGTCTCTCTTTTTTCCTTTGCTCACTGGTTTGGTTCTTAAATTACACATACAAGTGAGGTCATATGGTATTTGTCTTTCTCTGACTTACTTTGCTTAGCATTATACTCTCTAGCTCCGTCCATGTTGCAAATGGCAAGATTTTCTTTTTATGGCTGAGTAATATTCCATTTTATATACACACGCATGTGCACACACATCTTTATCCATTCATCTATCAGTGGACACTTGTGCTGCTTCCATATCTTGGCTATTGTAAATAACGCAATAAATAGCTGCAATAAAAATAGGGGTGCATGTTTCCCTCTAAATTAGTGTTTTGTATTTTTTGGGTAAATACCCAGTAGTTGATTACTAGATCGTAGGGTAGTTCTATTTTTAATTTTTTGAGGAACCCAATTCTGAGATTTTTGACAGTCAAAGTAGAAAGGAAAACTACATTGCGTGTGAAACACAAATACAAATTCTTCCCACATGGTTCTGGAGGTACTGATAGAGTTGTTTATGTCCTTAATTTTATGTCCTTGACTCTTAACACTAAACTTGAACTTGGACAAGGTATTTAATCTATTACATATATATATAGTGACTTCCTGTATGTTTTAGTTGCCTTTGATTTTACAAAAAATATTTGCTAATGACGTCTTGGGAATTGCTTTCTTCACTTAACATTATCCTGACTGATTGTTTATAAGTACTTCATGCTCATTGCAGTGTAATGATTATGAGCGTTTAAGTTGTTCTTGGGGTTTTTGCTATTGTAAATGGCAGTGTTATAAAAATTCCTGTACCAATCTCCTGGTGTTCAAGTGCACTTCCCTCTGGTAACCCCTGTAAATTCCAGCTGTCTCAGCAGCACCTAACTCTATTGTCTGCCTCCTCAGCTCACCAGTGTCACCTCTGTTTGAGCTCCATTTTCCTGTACCATGATCATGAAAGTTCTCCCAGACACAGACAGACAGACATGGTAAACCTGAGGTTCACCTTGCATGTTTCCTTTGCAAGGAAAGTATCAGTCTCCTTTGCCTTTAATCCAATTCATCAAAACAGCCCATATATTTTATACTTTATAGTTGTTTAGGATAGCAGGGTAAGCCCAATACCAATTACTATGTCATGGAAGTCCAGTTGTATTTTCTACAAAAAGTTTTAGTTTTGCTTTGTACATTTAAACATTAAATTGGAGT